ATTCTTGGAAAAGGTTGCGCCGTACTCCCTTAGAATCACAAAATTTTACGTTGCTAAAGTTCTAATAATTTTTGTTGGATTGGTTGAAGAATCATGCTGCGTAATGTAACATTTAGAATCTGATTCCAGTGTTTGAAAATGATAAGTTAAAAACTTATAAAAATGGCCGATGTTCTCAACCTCTGATTATAGTCGTGAGAATGAAAATGTTGTAAAATCCTAGAATGAAGTGTATTAAGTTGAAATTAATATAATGAACTGTGTCTTGATCTTAAGGTATTAAGTTGCCACCTAACCACAAATGACCAAGAGTCATTTTTTTGGTTAGGGGCTTGCTGACACGCGGGGGTGGGGGTGGGGATTTCTAATCTTATCCTATAATCCACTTAATTAGTTGGGTAATATTCCATTACCCGATAATTAACCAATTACCCCCATAATTAAGAATTGTCTCAAATTACTTAAAATTCTACTCATTTTTATTATACTTTATACATCATACTATCACGGTCATATGGTACCTTATATGATACTAGTCCATAAGTATCGGGTATTATATCTCGTACCGTATTTTATCCCAAATCGACAGCCTTCAAAGAAACTCTTTTTCTTTAGTTCGTGTACCCTTTCCTTCATGGCGTTTACTTATTGCTTGTTATAAATAGCATAAATATTCTAACCTCAAGATAATCTCATCCCCGAGTTTATGTCAATTACCTAAAGACGAAACTTTAATGTACAGAAAATGCGAGATGTAACTCGGTTCTCTCATTTGAATCACTTTCCATGTTTGAGTACATTTGAGTTGTTGCCTATTGGTACACAGATTGCATGATTTGTGGATCTAGGTAGTATTGGTGTGGTATGTAAGAAGAGTAGCTTGTATTTGATGAGATGAAGTCTTTGGGCCTGAAGTGATTGTTATCGAATTTGACTATGGTATGTTTGGAAGAATAATATCAGAAGTCAGCTTAGAATTTGAGCTATGGTTCTGGTTGGGCGGGAGAGCTCCATGACTTGTTGATCTGATGAGTGGTTATGACTTTTTGTGTGTTTCTCTATCATCGGCAGTGTACGAAGGTTTGAACGAACTTTTATTGATATGAGACTTCTTACTGGTACTAGATTTGGTTTTAAGCAGTTACGTTAATCAGAACTTGTTGCTATGAATATGCTCGTTATGTGGTATACCATGTGATTACATCTTGGATTATGGTTATGGCTTGATATAGCTTGTTCAGACTTATACAGTTTGTAGATGCAAGTTTAGGGTCTTGTAAGGAATTCCTGATGTTAGAAATTGGGTTCTAAGGTTAACGGACTAAGGTTGAAGTAATGATCTTCAGTTATGTTATATTTTCAGGCTTACATGGATTGGGGTGACATGGAATCACCCCCGGATATGTGCATGGTAAGGTTACATGGCGATTTGATGGCTTTGGAACGACTCTTGGCACGTTCGAGGAAGAACATATGTTTAAGTGGGGGAGAATGTAACGACCCAGCCGGTTGTTTTGAGCATTTGCACATCGCTCGGTGGTTTGAGGGCATGAGTAGTCCCGTATGATGTATTATGACTTGTGTGTATCGTTGGTTTCGGTTTTCGAGTGATTTAAAATTAGTCTGGAAGAATGAATTTCATGTTTGAAGCTTTAAGTTGGAAGAGATGACGAAATGTGACTTTTGAGTATTTGGCCTCAGATCGGAGTTTTGATGGTTCCGTTAGGTCCGGATGGTGATATTGTACTTTGGCGTATGCCTAGATTTTTATTTGGATATTTCTAGAAGGTTTCGACACTATTTGGTCAAAGTTGAAAATTTGAAGGTTTGGAATGTTCATAAGTTTGACCGGGGGTTGACTTTGATGATATCAGGTTAAGATTGTGGTTCCGGGAATTAAAATAGCTTCATTATATCATTTGGGACTTGTGTACAAAATTTGAGTTCATTCCGAGTTGATTTGATATGGTTCGGCACAAGATTTGAAAGTTAAAAGTTCAAAAGTTCATTAAGTTCGATTTGAGGTGCGATTCGTCGCTTCAATGATGTTATGTGTGATTTGAGGCCTCGAGTAAGTCCGTTTTATATTTTGGGACTTGTTGGCCTGTTTGGACGGGGTACCGAAGGACTCGGGTGAGTTTCGGTTCATTTTGGCACGATTATGTTCGACTGATTTCTGGTATTTCTGTTCTTCATCGCGATCGCGTATAGGAGACCACGATTGCGTAGGGTATTATGGGAGCTGGGTGATTTATTTATCGCGTTCGCGGACTATGAGTCGCGTTCGCATATCCCTGTAAGGATTGGATATCGCGGTCGCAGTGTATGAACGCATTCGCATAGAATCGCGAAGGAGAGCAGGCAGCTGGTGGATCCTTAATCGCGTTCGCGTATGTCATGTCGCGTTCGTGGAGCTTTGGTCTGTTTGGGCTTCACGTTCGCATGGTATTTATCACGATTGCGTAAGGCAATTTTTTTTTAGCAGTAGAGTTTATTCTTCGCGATCGTGAAGGATATCCCGCGATCGCGATGGGTATGTATGTTCAGTGAATTATAATACTCTATTTCGAAGGTTTCAGGTATTTGATCATATTTGAAGCTATGGAGCTCGGATTGAGTCAATATTTAAGGCGATTTTCACCACATGGAATGTGGTAAGTGTTTTCTACTCGGTATTAATTTTATTCCGTGATTCCATCTTTGGTTTTGGCATTTGATTGATGATTTCAAAGAGGAAATTGGGAGGTTTTGGTGTAAAATTTCATAAAGTGAATTTTTGAGTTTTGAACATCGATTTGGAGTCGTATTTGAGTGAAACTACTATGGTTTGACTCGTAATTAAATGAGTTATCAGATTTTTTGAGTTTTGTCAGGTTCTGAGGTGCTGGCCCGAGTTTGACTTTTTTGTTGACTTTGGACTTTTGATTAAAGATTCAACCTTTATCGATTGAGTTTGTTTCCTTTGGCATTATTTGATGTTCTTGGGTTACTTTTGGCTAGTTTCGAGATGTTCGGAGGTTGGTATGCGTGAGATGGCTTTTCTAATGTATTGTTTGGCTTGCCCAGTATTGGATTTGTCTTGTTCGAGGCAAGTAACATATCTAAACTTTGATTTGAGGGTATTTAACTTTGGGAACTATGTTATAAGAGATGTATTGAGGTGACGCACATGCTAGGTGACAAACGTGTGGGCGTACACTGGGAAAATCATGATTCTAGTAGACTATTAAACTATGACCAAATTTGTTTTGTTGTTATATCTTGTTACATCCATGTTCTCCCTACTTGTTTGATTATATGAGTTGTGAATCGTATTAGAAATCATGTTTAGACTATGCGTTTATTCAGTTGAGACCTAATGAAACTATTTCTGTTGTTTTGAGTTATCTGCTCTAACTGTAATTATATACTCAGTTATGATTCTTCATTTGCATATGATATCTCAGTCTCTGTTCATCACTCATTGTTACATCACATGTTATCATTGTTTGGGCTGAGTGGTACGAGATTGTAAGTCTTTGCGACTTGAGAGATTGATGGCCGAGGTGGGCCTGAGAGCCGTGTTGTGTGTGATATTTATAGGATCGGGTTGCACGCCACAACAGTGATATTGATAAGATCGGGCTGCACGCCGCAATAGTGATATTTATGGGATCGGGATTCATGCCGCAGCAGTGATATTTATGGCATCGGGTTGCACGCCGCAATAGTTATTATAGGATCGGGCTGCACACCGCAGCAGACCATATTGGCTTTATATTAGTGCTTGGGCAGGATCCACCCCNCGGTTATGATAACTTATGAGTTTTTTTAACACTATATGTAGGTAAATTATCCAAATAATGATGTAAATCAAAATTTTGAATGATATATCTTGGGGGCCTGGGTTTCAAGTCACAACAATGTCTAAGTACGTAGTGAATGATTATAAGTTTCATATGGAGGATTGCTCTAAGAATTAAAAATAACAATAACAACGGGATGTGGGTTAAAGGTGGTGATGACAACCAAGTTGGAGATATTGATTATTATGGTGTGGTCAAAGAAATATTAGGTATGATCGCTATGATCATTTCATAATTGCACATAACGTTAGGCAATTGTATTATGCTCCTTATCCACTGCAGAAGAGTAAGTCCAATTTGTGGGTGGTAATGAAAACTAAACCTGTGGGTAGGGTGGTAGTCGAGAATATGTTAGTTGTTGCATATCAAAACGATATCTCAAGTTATCACCAATAGTGGACGATCAGTTAGAAAATGATTTGGATCATCCTGAACACATATTAGAAGAAGTTGATATAAATGATGTGAAAACTATAGAAAATGAGGACAAAGAATCAGCGGATGAAATTGAAACAAGTGAGGACGAAGAATTCTTGGACGAGGAACAATACGTCGACGAGGATTAACAAGTTGGATTTTTAAAGCACTCTCGTGTTATAACTAGTTTCTTATTTTGTCATTCTAAATATATATCATATTATGCAGATGGCAGGCAAGGGTCAAGGTAACAATGACCCTACTAGCTCTCGGGGTAGAGAAAAAGGATAGGAAGCCAAGGAGGAGGGTAGAATCTGGGATAATACTACTCCCTCATTTCCAGCCTCTTCACAGATGCATATGTCTTTTCCTCCACCAGAGGGCTATACTGAGCTGCCACAACAAAACTAGTCTTATACTTTCATGCAGACACCGAGTCTTTCATCACAGGGCTATAGGACTACGCGTCTCTCATAAAGTCCAACTGCCTCACATCCACTTGGACTGCACCCATCTGCATCGCAACACCGTGGCTCATAGCCATCTGTATCGTAGCCCCGTGAATCGCAACCATCCATATCACAACCACATGGGTCGCAACCATCTATATCACAGCCACATGGATCACATCCATGTATGTCGCAGTCACATGGATCGCATCCATCTTCATCATCTACTCCTTCCATTTCAGTACTTCGTCTGCGAGACCGCATCTCTAAGCTCCCCTCTACACCGTCTATGCATGCATCTGATAGACATGTCGAGGATGATGATCCAGATGTTGTGCATTATCATCGTTATGGCAGGATCATCATAGTTCCTAAAGGGAATGGGTAAGAGTTATTTGTTATTTTTTCTTTTATTATTTTATAATATTTTCATGTATTTTTATTGTTAAATTGGAGGTTCAAACTAGGCAAGCACACTACAAAGTTAAACACCATTGCCATCTGCAAGCTTTAGGCTCGATAGAGGAGGCGTGTGTTCACCAGTTGCCCAAAAAGTGGCCAAACTTTGTTATCGTTGAGAGCTAACGGTGCTATTGTGCAGAGAGCTAACCTGTATAGATATGATCATTGTACCGATTCATTGGATAATTCCTAATGGTTAGAATTACCATAAACTGTCAATAGGATATTCTCTTGAAGAATGTGATGTAAGAGTTTCCTTTGACCTGATATCATTATAGTAATTGACAAGTTATTTATTGTGCTTTGATACTACACCTATGGCCCTAGGGCGATAGTTGAAAGGATATTGGGTATGATTAAACACTTGTAGAATCAGTGATTGATCAAGATGGAATCTGTCAACTCTTGGTAATGAGTTTAAGCTCCATGTTTTCATGAATTATAACCGACCAAATTAAGACCTTGGCCAGGGCGATTGAATGAAAGTAGAAAAGATTTTCTTAGGTCATTCAATGGTCGATTATTTTTGACATGAACACATAGTTGGTCGCCTATTAGGATTTGACAGTTGAACCATTTCCTAGGCTGACCCAGAGCTATAAGGACAGAAGGAATTAATGCATTATTCTTCTACGGGTTCTTGAGAGTAAATTGTATTTTTCATGCTATCCGGTCGTTGAGGAGTGTTGCTAGACGCCACCCTTGATTAGTATATTAATGTGATCAATTTACTACCAATTTAGTATTGAACCTATAGAGTCGCACACTAACGAGTGTTCTGATCTTTGCTAAAGGATGAATTATTTTATTATTTGATAATTAAATTAAAGAATTTAATTTAGTCAAATAAATTTAGTTATTAGTTCAAATGAAATATTGTTATATTCTTTGCTAGCACAAAGAATATAATTAATATTGTAAACAAATTAAAATTTTCTATTTGGAATAGAAAATTAAATTATATCTCTTGATTGAAATATATATATGTATGGTATATATATTTGGTACTTATAATTAATATTTATTTATACATGGAATATATATTAAATATTACTAAGGAGACTAATCCAAAGTCCACAAAACACCATTTTAATTCTTCCTTGGAATTACTTTTCTAAAGTTCAACCTTGACTTGGAAAGGAATTAAAATACTATTTTAATTCGTCCTTGGAATTATTTTTCTAAAGTTCAACTTGTATTTTAATTCTTCCTTGGAATTAGTTTTCTAAAGTTCAACTTTGACTTAGAAAGGAATTAAAACACCATTTTAATTCATCCTTGGAATTATTTTTTTAAAGTTCAACTTTGACTTGGAAAGGAATTGAAACACCATTTTAATTCTTCCTTTTCCACTCACTTATATATAGAGATATATTTGTGAACTTGAAGAATATATGAAAACCTATAAGGTGTATGTGTGCCCCAAAAAGTCAAGAGAAAATATTATTGCGAGTAAATTGTTTTTTGTTCTTCTACCTTTGAGTTGAGATTTTTGAGAAAATTTCAACACAATATTTTTTGTTCAATTTGTTCGCAGTTTTCATTGATCAAAGAGTTGATAGTAAAGATCGGTCTCGGTATGAATACGCATAGAGTCTTCGCATTATCGAAGAAAACTCTGAAACAAGGCTCTCTTCACCAGGTACGTCTTAGATCCGATATTTGACATGTAAATAATTTTAAACATGATAAGTTCTGCCTAGGATTGTTATTGTCTTCCGCTGCATGTTTTGAACACGAATATGCAATCCAGCAGCAATTGCTAGTCTTAAATGGAAAAAATGGAGGCGAGTCGAATTCTCTTATGATATTCCCTCACTGAGTTTAGATGGGTATGATGGGATTACATTGCATGGACGACTTCACTTTAGGATGAGGGTCAGAAAATCTTATTTTGATAGGAGAAACAGCCAAGAAGTCTACAATTTAATTTATTTTGATCCCATCTTTGAAAAGTTCGATACTTTTCCAATCTGAGTCTAAGTCTGATGAAGAAGAGATTGTTATAACTGGTTTGGGCGTTTTAAATGAATGTCTTTGTATGACTTGTGAATATTCTTAAGGGTTTTGAGATATTAGTTATGAAGGAATATGGAGTAAAGGAATCGTGGACACCCTTATTTTTCATAAGGAATTTTCTCTTTTTTGGATTTGTTCTGCCCTTAACAGTGACAGAGAATGGAGAATTAGCTTTGATAGTACGCAACCACAAATGTCAGCAAGTTGTTATATACAATCCTAAGAATGACAATATTCGAGAAATTCTTGTCCACGGAAAGACATACTTATTTATAACATATGTGGAACAAAGCTGGAGTGAGAAGGAGCACAACAAGTTTGGAAAGCCGATAAGGCTTTCCTAATCCTTTTAGGCTTTGTTAGCATATATGGTTTTTGGTCTGATGGATTTGAGATTTTGAGTTTGATTTCATCCTCCTTTCTTTTAAGCATAATAAAGGAAGCACCAGAATTTTGCTGCACTTTGAGTTACTCAGGAATAGTGGTAGCTATAGCTTGAATTATGTAAACTTCTTTTAATGCGTGAAATGAAAAAGAACAGTTTTTTGCCAACTATTAGATAAATTTGATAACTTTTGTAGTTACTTTATTACTTGTCTGGTTTTTGGCAATCTTCGAATTACTGGATCTTTCTTAAGAATGCATGGTGATGACAACGAATTTTAAGTTTTTTTGCTTAATTTGTGTTGCTATCTCTTCATGGTTTTACTGTTGTATATATTGGCCTAGAGATTATGGATAGCGTGTGTTTGCCTTACAAACATCTATAGGGTAAAATATGCTATGAACACGTAGAATTCAAGACGGGGGAGATGGCCAAAGATCAAAGGCAACTGTTTCGTCTGTCACCGGAAAGAATAATGCTCATAAAGATATGATAAATGCTCTTCGCTCGGTAGCATTTAATAGAGAATATTCCAGGAAATTAAGAGTAATTACCCATTACAGGGAATTTGGCATTTATGTTCACCGTTACATCTTTATCAACGTCCCTCATAATTGACATTAAAGAAGGGCATGATCCTGGACCTCTTTCGTAGCTTTAAATAGTGAGCTCAGTTGTCATTGTAAATGATACGAATTTTCTAGCAAACTTACGCTACATTCTATATAAAGCTCAATACAATTTTATCTTCTTACTTTTTGATTTCTTGTTGTTGTGCCAAGAAACCATGTTCCCGTAAATGTTGTTTCTGTTGTTTCGTCTATATCCTAATGCTAAGTATTGCATAATTCTTCAATTATTTTATTATTTTAGGATCAAATTAATTCATTTATCTAGAAATCACGTATAAATTCAACTGTACCATTTTATGGGTAAAATAAAACTTTACCAAATAGTTAGGTTCATTGCTTTCCCTTCTTTTATATGAGATATGGTTGGTTTCATTCTATACTGAATACATAGATCATTCTTGTGAAAAAAGGACAGGTCAGTGCCCAAAGCTAAGCATCCCGCATTCTCGTAGTGTTCGGGAAAGTCATCCCAAGAGGTGTAATGTAGGCAGCCTACCCTGATATAAGCATCAATGGCTAATTCCACGGCTCGAACCTGCAACATATAGGTCACATGGAGACAATTTTATCGTTGTTCCAAGGCTCCCTTCACATAGGCCATTCTTGTATTAGTCTAAATTCTGATTCGTTAGATAGATCATGTAAAATTAAGATGTGCTATTTGGGTGTCTTTTACTGGCTCTTGTTGCTGAGCTCTACTACTTGTTATGGTTGAAAATTAGGATTGCTAAAAGAGGTCTTGAAGATGGTTACAACAAGAGCATACTACTATATGTTTAGAATATGACTTGTTTGGAATATGATAATGATCCTAAAATAATATTGGACATGAAGGAATATGGTATCAAGGAGTTTTTCATTAAGAGTTTAGAAATAAAAATCCTCTTGTCGAACTGCATCTTTATCTTTTTACCCTTTTAAATTCATTAATTTTTTAAAATAAATAAAACGAGCCGCAGTTCGGTGCACAAAACGTCTCGCATTCACATAGGATTCGAAAAAGGGTCGCACCCCAAGAGGTGTGACGTAGACAGCCTACCCTAATGCAAGTATTAGTTCCTTCTTCTACGGTTCGAATCCTTGACCTATAATTACATGAAGACAACTTTTTCGTTACCCCAAGGCTTCCATTCCAAATAAAGGAAAAGAGCAAACCAAGAAAATTAGGGAGAGTTCTTAGACACCTCAAGGACTGGATGTGATGACCCAAAAGGTCATCTTATGTTTTAGAATTCGAATATGCGCTCTTAAGCCTTTAAAATCTCATTTTACCCTCCTCGATTTGTGTGCACAGTCCAGGCAGGTTTCTGGAAAGCTTTTATGTTGAAAATTGATGGAAATAAGAATTTATGCTTTAAAAGTTGATTATAGTTGACTTCGGTCAATATTTTTTATAAACGGGACCGGATCCATATTTTAACGGTCCCAGTGGGTCCGTATCGAATTATGGGACCTGGGCGTATGCCCGAAATCGAATTCAGAGGTCCCTAACTCAAGTTATGAATTTTTAATGAAAATTAAAAGTTTGAAAATTAATTATTTTAAGAATTGATTGATGTTTGGCATTGTTAGTGTCAGGTTTGTATTCTAGTTCCGGAGCCCGATACAGGTTCATTATGATATTTAAGACTTATCTGTGAAATTTGGTTAGAAACAGAGTTGATTTGACGTGATTCAGACATCCAGGTGAGAAGATATGAATTTTAAAGTGTTCTTGAGAATCTCATTTGATTTGGTGTTAAATTCGTAGTTCTAGGCGTTATTTTGGCGATTTGATCACGTGAGCAAGTCAGTATGATGTGTTTAGAGTTATGGGCATATTCCGTTTGGAGCCTCGAGGGCTCGGGTGAGTTTCGGATAGGCCACAGGATGTTTTGAACTTAGAA